ACCTCAACAGAATGCGGAAAGCACTGGAGGGCCGTTTCTTCCTATATTTGGGAGTCATCAGTAATATAATAATAGCTAATATATTTACATTCCAAATATATAAAGCAGTCTATGTGTTCACAAGAGAGTTGTGATCTCAAAGTAGATACAAAATGCTGAAATAAAAAATATCTTGAAAATTGTCGATCGTTGATTCAGTATATGATTCAACGGTTGAATCCAGCCTAAGGAATTATCGATAGACCACTAAAATCCAAAGGCGAGAAGGAAAAGGTTATTTCAAATTTCAGGAAAAATGTTACTAATTGTAAATTCTTACAGTAATGATTTTGTTTAGAAAAGAAACTAAAATAAATGGTATATTCATGCAAAAAATTAATCCTTCTTTTATAAGCATTTCATCTTAAACAAGGCGTGTAATCCACTCAGACGCAAGGAGTTACGGAAAGGGAAAGACACCAAGAAAACTGATATAATGGAATATGCATACACCTGTGTTCCCCCTCACTGGAATATGATTGGCTGGTGTCCGTCATAAATACAGACGGACGTGTAGGTACGACAGAGTTTAAGTCTATGACAACACCTATTGGACTACGCCATTGGCTATCCTATTGGTCTACACCTATTACCTGCGACTACGACGAGCACCGGTCGAATACTGCTACCGTGTACTACTTGGTTAGAGTAGCCAAAACAATGTAGCTACTTCGATCATATATATATCCCTTTCCGGGACATATCAAAAACATCATTAAGGAAAGCGGAGAATAAACAAACAGAATAAAGGAGACCGAATGTGATTTACAACTCATCTAAATCTTCGAAAATCGTAGTTGACAGGAAAGCAAGAAGCCGGTTGTTAGTCCCTCAGGCGAGAGGTGTCAGAGAAGAAATTATTAGAATAGAACTTGCGGTTACATCTAGTTCTATCAGATTTAAAATCATGAAAATTAGCTATCAATCTAGTACTACGCTTAAATTCGTGAAGTCGAACTGCCAACGATGGAAGCTCAACAGAACAGTTGCCATAAAAAATATTTATAGGATAGTCCCAGGTATTTTATAGCGGATGGAAAATGTTTGAAACTGAGATAGCAAATCAGGATCGCACGTTCTACAACGCTGAGATTCGCCCAGCTTCCCTCAAAAAGTTTTAATAATACGGAATTAATGGAATTGTCCTCAGCATTTTAGATAGTTATCTAATAGAAAATATGTGGTCAATCATAAAATATATATATGAAAATGAAAAACAATACACATGCAGTTATCTCCGCGAGTGCAATATTAAATTCGAAGCATTACAAATGTAAAAATCAATGCGTGAAAGATTGATGAAACAGAGTTATGAAAATGTAAAGTAATAAATAATAATAATAAATAATAAAATAATGATAAAATAATAAAATAATACATTATTTCTACTCTACCGGGTGTTGAGTTAATCAAATATATATTTCCGTGGCCAATGTCTTTTAGATTTATATATGAATAAATGATTGTGTTGGAGCTTGTTTGAATTATAACAGCTGACACGCCCAAAAAACTCGTATGAATATATAAGATGCTGGTATTCACACGAGATATTGTGCATATAAAAAATAAAATTCCACCCACTTTATTCGGTTACAATTTTATTTTGATAACACGTACTTGACCAAATACATATATACTCTCGACTCTCTCCCGTTGAATTCGAGGGGCAAGCAGATCAGATCCTAGGAAACTGACAGCCCGACACTAACACGGGAGATTTGATTATAATGTGAATGTCTTGTGCAGAATTGAACACACTTTTTGAAGGGCCGAATTCAGAGACTTGGTGCACTACGTGCCATAGGGTACCCAAACGTCCCTCCGCAGGATTTGAATTCAGAGTTGTCCTTCTTTTAGACCAGTTGCAATCCTAGGCTATAGAACCCAGTCTATCCTGATATTTAACCCTAGCTGGAGGGAGAAGAAGAGGATTCATATCTTTCACTTTCGTAAGTGAATGTAATGGTTTCGACTGGAATTCGAACTCGGATCTACGATTCATCAATCCAAACCGTGCCTTCACGCGCACGCGCGAGCGTCTATATATATATATATATATATATATATATATACGCTCTCAAATGCATACACACAATTTCCAACAGATACACACACACACACAAACACACACACACACACACACACACATATATATATATATATATATATATATATATATATATATATATATATATATATATGATCAAAATGTAGTTTTAAGGTATGCAATATTAAGGGGGTAAAAGTGCTCCATATCAGGGATAGAGCGTATGTAAAAGTAAAAGTGGATATTGTGGTCAACGCCGAACAGTCTGTTTCGTGCTTAAACTTCAGTCATGTGTAACAGAAAAACTGTCCAGATCGTGTAACGGCAAAATTGTCCAATTGTTACATTAAGCTCTGAACCGTTGTATTTTGGAAATGATTAAAGATATCTTACTGGAATTCTCCGAGGTATTTATAACAGTATTGAAATCTACTTTAAGCAATAAGAATATATAATTTCTTTCCAAGCTTAACAGACGAATCGTAATGAAATCGATCATAAACAAAAATGACATGTTCGTAAATTAACCACAGCTAAGGATCGGAAGCTCATGAAGTATTGAAATAAAGTTCATATATATATATATATATATATATATATATATATATATATATATATATATATATATATATATATATATAATTCTAGAATCATGTTCCAACTTATTCAAGATGATCTTTGCTCTCTCTAACCTTCTAATTTTATGTCTTGGAGTAACAAACTGTCTCACAGGTTTCATGTACGATTTCATTTTCAAGTCTTTTTTCACTGCTCTTTGGACTCTTATAGTTGAATCTCTTCACTTAAATACGAAACGACTTATGAATTGAGTCTTTTCTAATTGATCCCATTAGCACTAATGCTGTTCCCTTTTCCTGTTGTGAAATCCTGTTCCAGTTTTCCTCTAAAGTTGTTCCCTCTTTTTGAAATTTATTCACCGTTCTCTGGATGGTTCCTGAACGGATATTGAAGATGAAAGACTGAGGATGAATGTTGGTACCATTATTGACGGCCTGAATTTTCTTTTTCCTCTCACCATTGCTCATTTGGGTAGACAGTGGGTCTGACACCAAAAGATTTTTACCTGCTCTATTTTAGCTGAGTAACACAAAGGATTTTACAGTGATTCTTACAATAAATTATCTGAAAACATTGAAAAAAGAAACTCAATTTGCTAAGTGTTTTATTTTTAAGATATTAGATATTTTGTGGGATAGATAATTATTCTCTTACACTATGTAGACTATTTTGCTGTTACAAAATCTGTTATATATATATATATATATATATATATATATATATATATATATATATATATAGTGGAAGAGTCCTCAGTATAGAGGATAGAACACTGATTAATATAAACTGTATAGACGTAGAATCAACACTACATGTGTATGTGAGATTCTGACTGTATATATATATATATATATATATATTTGTATTATTAGAATGGTGATTCCTAGATGGATAGGTTCTGGCTTTTAGCTATTTTTATTTTGCTCTACTTAGAGTATTGAGTACTTTTAGGTTCAACTTACGTACTCTATTGGTGTTTTTATTTATTTATTTTGGCTAGACATTTTGGTACTGGTTGAATTTTTTCAAGCAGTTCGGATGGTTCTAGTCTTTTTTTTTGAATATCAGTTTGTCTAACATTTTGTTAATAATAAATTGTATTATATGTTTTTTCACACCGCCAGAGTTATAGTTTTAAAAAATAATATATATATATATATATATATATATATATATATATATATATATATATATAGTGATCAAACCATCTCACCATCTTTTGTTCAGAGCTAAATTCTTTCATCATTCTCTCATAAATACCTGTCCAAATTTATATTGAATGTTAAATATATTTAAGCATCCTTTTACGTGCAGCCTTTGTTGATGTAGAATTTCATGTGATCTTTGTAGTATTTCGTCTCCCCGCCACATATATATAATTCCATTAATAAAATGACTATTCATCTGAAGAATCCTATGGAAGGACGAAACGTCTAACGTGGGAGTAATTGTATTTTCGATTTTATCATTTCAACTACCAATTATTATTCTTAGATGAAAAATTTTATATAATTTAAATTCATTTTAATCATGTCAGCTTTTGGCTACCAAACAAACCTTACTTAAAGTACCAGAATTCTACATCCGAGTCGTGTATCGGAGGAACATATAGCAAAAGCTTTCAATGCCAAGCCCTCGTTAAATGTAACGTCGTATATGTTATGGTCAACATTGAAGAGGACTACCACATCTGGGCATTCAGTCACATCTGGGAGATCATGCTTGATAATTGATGTCCCGGAAAGGGATATATTTGATCGAAGGAGCTAAGTGGTTTTGGCGACTGTAACCAAGTAGTACACGGTAGCAGTAATCGACTGGTACTCGTCGTAGTCGCAGGTAATAGGTGTAGACCAATAGGACAGCCAATGGCGTAGTCCAATGGGCGTCGTCATAGACTCAAAATCTGTCGTACTTACACGTCCGTCTGTATTTATGACGGTCACCAGCCAATCATATTCCAGTGAGGTGTATGCATCTTCCATTATATCAATAATGAAACCGGTTTTCCTATAATTAACAATTTTCCTTTTTTTTTCACATTTAAAATTTAAAATATATTGAATCTTTGTATTGGATAGCATTTTATTTTTCTTTATAAACAGACTTGCTAAATAATAAATCAGATTTTATTTCCAAATGCAGACACAGAGTTCCTATTACGCTACCCACAAACAAATCCCGACTCCAAAATCTGACAAGTGATTGCTCATAGCCACAGACTAACAAGGCTTAAATCTAAATACGTTTAAAATCGAAATAAATATACAAAAAATGAACACATAAACATGATATACAAAATAAATTCAAGAGCATGAGTATAAAGTGAATAGCTCTAAAAAGAAAACAGCCATGACAAAGATGAAACTACGTAAGGAGGACTAATTATGGTATGTTGATTGCTATAGACGGAAAGAACTTACAGTGTTGACTTCTATGCGCACACGCATATACATAAACACACATATATAAACGAAACAGTGATGAAAACTTTCAAATCGAACTACTTTTTAGAATTTTAATCAGTGACTAATTATTATATATGTATATGTGTGTGTGTGTGTGTATGCATGTGTGTGTACATTACGAGGCAAAAAATGGACGCACCCATAGTCGATCTTTGTATTTTTACTAAGCCAAGCAAGTAAGAGAATTCGCTTATTAATACAGCGTATATTAATACAGGTGTACATATGGACATTATACAAGTCAAAAACCCAGGTGAAAGGCTTTGTGCGATAATGAACAGGCGTGTCCGTAATAGGAAATTTAACGCAGAAGATGAGCTTCTTCACGATTTAAAGGAACGCTGGAAGAATCTGACGAAAGGACGTTGATTTACTAAAGAATTCAGTCTATAGCATGCCACGAAGAATTAAGGCTGTTCTTAAAACAAAAGGTTACCCAACGAAACACTAAATCATTTTTTGACTTTTATAATGTACATATATACAGCTGTATTAATATACCCTGTATTAATAAACGAATTCTGTTACTCACTTGACTTTCTAGGGGTGCGTCCATTTTTTGCCTCCCTCTCCCCCCTCTCTCTCTCTCTCTTACTCTCTCTCTCTACATATATATATATATATATTACGAGGTGTTTCTTTTGTCGATCCGAGAAGATTCCAGCAGTAGTTCACAGACACACCCACAAACGTATATATATATATATATATATATATATATATATATATATATATATATATATATATATATAAAAAGAGAGAAAGACAGAGAAAAGGACAGAGACAGACAGAGGGATACATCTCTCTGTAACCTAGTATATATATAGATAAATAGGTATATAGATGGTAGCAAATAAATCGATGGCAAACAAAATTAATAAAAATAATTAAATCAGAAATTTGAGAAATGCATATTTTATTTTATTTTGCCAGAATATCTTTAAAAGTAATTGAATTTTGGCTCTCAGAAAATTTCGATAAGGGCTTCACTTCTACTTTTCAAATTTCTTCTTTTTTTTTCTTTCCATTGATTTGAAAATATATACTCCCGTTTTGGTTATGCAGTAAATTTCATTATTTTATCCATCGAAAGTTTAGATAAAAATATCAATTTACGGAAAAATATTTCTAAACATTTTAAATACTAAAAATAACCGATATATATGAAAGATGAAATTGTGGAATAGGAGTGACTTTGGCATTTTCTGGAATTTGTAGAATGTAAACGACTCATATCTGTTTCTCAATATTTATGAGGAATTATTTTATGGAACATAGGCTGAGAGCAGGTAAATGGAAAATGCTATTTACCAATGCCACCAATCAGAAATAACTTGATTGCATGTTTTAAAAATCAGCATTCGAATACTTAGCTTTTATCATCGATTGACCACCAATCAATGGAGCTAAATGATATTACTTCAGATATTAGGCAGACGATGTTTCGATTTTTATTCGATATATTGGGATTTAATGTCTAGGGAAAGAAACTGATATTTGACTTGTATCATCGCAAAACAAAATTATTTTTATATCTGCATTTTTGAAAGGTCTTATAATTTTCTTGCTGATAATAACAGTCCTAACTATTATTGTTCTTGTGACCTTCTAAGTCGTTTTGATTAACTTTATTTACAAACGAACTTCTTGCCTAACTATTAGTTCCATCGAATAAGGCTCAAGGTTTATCATTTAACATTTTTTATTGGGATATCAATTCATTTTCACTTCTTTTTTTATCATTTCACTGCAAACAAGACAAGACAATAAAGCCAATGTTATTCCGTGAGAAAGAATAAAAAAAGGTGCGACAACAATAAAAGAATAAAAAATCAAGAAGACAGTAGATAATTTTTCAAGATCAAAGTTGGCTAGAAAGCACGAAGCCGGAAGAGAGTTACATAGAAGAGAAGTGTGAGAAAAGAAACTGTTAGCATAGAATTTACATTTGCAATTAAATTTTAAAATGACCAGACCTTGTTGCCAATCTCATAATGCGCTTAAATTCATCAAGTTAATCCGAAAGATTACCATGACAGTATTTAAAGAAAAGTGCAAAGTGACTGAAACCGGGATAATATCAGAGATTTTTCTTTGGATTTTATCAATAATCTCTAAATATATAGCAGGAACATCAGAACACACATGGAAGCAATATCCGAAAAAATAGGAGAATGGTATACTTATAAATATGTAAAATAGATTCTGGAGAGAGAAACTGTCTAGTACGATATGGTAACTGTCTTTTTATGTGATTTCCAATGAAAGCTGCTACTTTCCGTGGTTTCATGAATTTAGTCAATGTTCTTAATCTTCTATATTTTTCTTTCTGTTTAGGTTTACCGGATGACGATCTTCAACTATTTTTCGCTTGTTAATTATTCTTTGTTATTACTGTTTAAATTATCTTTCGAAAATATTTTTGTAACATTCTTAAAAATCCGTATTGGATCTCGTTCTTCGCAATCATTTCAGTTTCTCCTTTTGATTGTTTTGTCTTCTCAGATCAAATTTTCTTCCATTTTCCAATATCATATTTCTATTACGCAAACATTTTAGTCACATAAATTAAAACGATAACATTGAAACAATTGCTAGACATGTTGCTCTCCTTTACCCACCACAGAGATCCCTTCCCGCCTCCCATCAGAATGTATAATTCCTAACTCCTTGAGAGCGCCTCGTTACGCCTGCTTGGTATCACACTGTCCACTGACATGAGGTGTAATAAATACATTGACTCAATAAGCTTCATCTACCGCAAGGAAAGTTGGTTCTCTGTGTCGTGTCAGAAAGTTTTTCTCGTCTAAGTCCATCCTTCAAATCTATAAATCAACCATTTGTCCTTGCATGGATTATTGCTGTTCTATATGGTCTAGTGCTCCCGCTTATACGCCTCGAGGTCCTCGACAAAATCCAGAGACGAATATGCCAGGTGATAGGTCCTGATCTGGCATCTCGTCTACAATCGCTGTCTCACAGACGTGCCGTGTCTTCCCTCTGTCTCTTCTACAAATATGTTCATGGCAACTGTTCCGACAATCTACTTTCGCTGGTTCTCGGACTATTCTCGGTCCTACACTTTTACTGTCAAAACGGTTAAATGTAACCGTCTTTTCTTTTCAAACAGCTTCTTCTCCCAAAGTTAGGATGCTTGTCTCCGTTGCTAGTTGCATATTTAAAAGAAAAGCTTGTAATTCTAACGAATAATTTCTTTCATGGAAATATTTCGACTAGCTTTTGCTAGCCTTGTTTACTCCTTTAATTTGAGTAAAACAGTGCAAAGAAACTAGAAACGCTCACGAATTCAAATCACGGAAAAAATCGAGTTGATGCCTTATTCGTATCAAAGTTAGGATACTTGTCTCCATTCGCAGTTGCATAATTAATAGAAAAAACTTGTAGTTCCAACGAATAAATTATTCGATGGAACTACAAGTTTTTCTTTTAATTATTAAACTCTTCCGCACTTCCCCTGTGTGGAACTCCCTTCCCCTTACTTGCTTCCCCGATGACTATAATCTTCAAATATTCAAGTGTAATGTCAATCGACATCTGACACCTAGAAGCCAGATGTAAAATATTTTTGACATTTCACCCCAATCAAGGCAATAGCGACAGCTTGAAAGAAATTGAGCAAACGTTATTGAGTAGAAAGCACATTACAGGATTCGAAGAGACAGAAAATAACGATTGACGTTTCATTTGAATTGTTGAATGTATCGGAAAAGAAGAAGCCAGAAGAGATTCCAAAAGCGAGACGTATAAGAAAGAAAAATATTAGCACAGAACTTAGAGTTATATCTAGAAATTTTAACAGGCGATAACTCTTTGTCAGCCTAGTACTACGATTAAATTCGAAAGGTCGTGGTACGAAAGAGGAAAGCTCATCAGAAAAAATAACCATGAACATATTTATAGAAAAGGCACAGGGAAGCTACATTATGGCAGTGGGAAATTGACTGAAGCCAAGATGCCAGATCAGCACTGATAATATTGCAGCTGCTTCTTTTGATTTCGTCCAGAATATCTAGGTTCATGTCAGACGTAGCAGAGCAGACGTGACAGAAATATTCAATGCACCGACGAATGGTAGAAACATAAAAGTGTAAGATAGATACTGTCGAGAAAGATCGTCTAGCCCGACACATTTTTTAAAAGGTAATTCACCCCAAGCAAGGCGGGAGTGCCACTAGCACGCAAGGGGTTACAGGGGATTGAGAACAAGAGTAAAGAGGCGTGTTTGGGGAAAGGATACAGAGAAGGACGGGGAACAAGCTTGATATAGACACAAGTATGCACAACAGATCTTTGCACACACACACATACGAGAAAAGGAAAGGAAGAAAGAAAGAAAGAAAGAAAGAAAGAAAGAAAGAAAGAAGAAGAAAAGGAGGAGGGAGAAAAAGAAGGGACAACATTAATAATAGTAATAATAATAATAATGGGAATGAAGAAGAAGAAGAAGAAGAAGAAGAAGAAGAAGAAGAAGAAGAAGAAGAAGAAGAAGAAGAGGAAGAGAAGGAGGAGGGAGAAAAAGAAGCGACAATAATAATAATAATAATAATAATAATGGGAAGAAGAAGAAGAAGATTTTTATCAATTCTATGGTGAAAATATTTGCCCTTGTTATAAAATCTTGCTTTGTTTATGTATTCGCCTCTCTGTTTGGTTTATCCAGCAGCCTCTACGTATAAATCTTATACAAGATATTTTCTCAAGTAGCCAATATATTTCTGTTGTAATCTCGTAAATCATTTTTGCTTCGTTTTTCCATTTTAACCAAACATTGATTTATCGTTCATGAGAACAAGGCTGAAATAATGAACTGGATATTTTAACAGCGTCATGAATAGTACAAGACTATTTGAAATGGGTACAAGTAGGGATTTAGGTGCAGTTATCTCTCTGCTCTGCGAATACTCTTATTCTATTTGTTTGAAACCAGATTTATAGACTTAAAGTAAATGTTCTGTTTGTAAGTGCTTTAAGAGTTGAAATACAACGGTTGTTTATTTAGTCATTTCTTTAAGGACAGCAATGTTTGAAAACATGCCATTTCCAATGTTCTGATCCGTTGTATGACCATAAGAGATATATTCAATTTATCAGGCTAACTTTGTTTTGCTTTAGATATAATATTTCGTTTAGTTTTCTCTTCCAGCTTCGACATGATGTCATCCATTATTAGAAACAAAGAGTGCTGAACTGCTAGGCAATTGCAGTGACTCTCTGGACAATTTCCACACAGATGAAGAGAAAACCGGAGGCAACAGAAATGTGGTTCTACAGAAGGATGCTGAGAATACAATATAAGTTGTAAAGAAAACGGAAACAAAAAGGACGCTCAGAAATAGAGGGTGAATGTTGAAATTATTTGGGCATATATTAAGGAAAGCGGACTTGGAAAATTTGACATACAAAGGATGTAACAAAGGCAAAAGAGATAGAGGTGAATGACCGGATCATCTACCTGACGAACTTGTGTAAATGGACGGCAGAATGCGGTGGGATAGGGATGATAAAAAGACAAGCGTTAGTAAGAGCTACAAGGGATAGGAAGTTGTGGAGAGCCATGTTCTGCCACGTCTTGAAGGGAAGACTGTTGTTCAGAAGAACATATCGACGCCTTGTGGAGTATAAAGCCACAGTTTCGCTAAGCCGTACTTTCAATACGAACTAGATTTACCAGTGGCGTGTTCGCGCCATGCCCAACTGGTTTTGAATTCCCCATAAAGTGGCTACCGACCTAGTAAAATGTTTCCAGTCTGCACGGCTCATTACGCCACAGATAGGTGCAAGGGGAAAAAGATTTTTTTTTTTGTATGAAAGTAAATGCAATGGCCTCGGTCCAAATTTGAACACATTGTCGATCTCTGAGCACGATAACAGTACACTATGTGAACATAATTAACCATATGACTACATAATTAAATGCTTCTTCTTCTTTTTCTTCTTCTTCTTCTTTTTCTTCTTCTTCTTCTTGTCACATTTTCTATTTTTACTGGGTCACAGCCATATTACATTGTAACACTAGTTAAGAAACTTTCTAAAAGAAATAATCTATCAAAACCAACATACATGACTATAAAAGTTTTAAAAATTAAAAGAAAATTGTTAAATTCAGAACTTATTATTTAAAATATATATTACATAACTTTTTTAACTATACTAATATAAAAAATATAATACAACAAAAAAACATTTACTCACTTTCGTTTCACCAAATTACATAACTTGATATCTTCCATAGTTTACCTTGACTTTCAGATAGCCTGAATTATAATGAGCGTTTTTAATTTTAAACATACTGTAAAAGTAACATTTTTACAAATATATACGAATAAGTGTTGAAAAATAAAATCCGTACATTTGCCTTGATAAATTCCACACACACACACACACACACACACACACACACACACACACACACACACACACACACACACACACACATATATATATATATATATATACATTCAATGAAGACCTGTTTAAGTTCCGGTTTTATTATGTCATGAAAAAATACCCCCCTCCACATTGTTTCGCCTTGTTCTAATGTTTTTGTTCTTCCATTTTTTTACTTCCAATTTTTTCCTCGGGTACCAATATGATACTGTTAATATATATATATATATATATATATATACTGACGCGTAAGAATTTATTTTATAAATATTTAACAGAATTTAATTTTTTTAAAATTATAAATATTTATTTTATAAATATTTAACTGAAAGCATTTGAACACTTTCTACACTCAGTATGTCCATATCAGAAAATGTAGCGTATCAATCTTATTTAACAATGCATGCATTAAAGAAGGATTGCTACCCAAATGCATAACTATATATATAAATATAAATACATGTATATATGCTAGAAATTGAAGCAACCATCAAACGTATATATCAACAGCAATACAAAAATAAACCAATTCAAGACCTTAAGCAGACACACACACACACACACACACACACACATATATATATATATATATATATATATATATATATGAAGTGTGGCTGTGTAAGGAAATTCTAAAAAAAGTGTGATATAAATTTTTCTACGCATTTTTCTTTATTAATGCAATATTACACCTATCGTTAATCAGACGTTAACTGCGCATGCGTGCGCATACTCTCTAATTTGCAAATGGTGCCTGGCTAAGGCGTCTGAATAAGCAAAGCTTGCACCTTGCCATCCGTGTGTTCAACTTCTCACGCAACCATCTGTTTTAATTAAAATTCTACAAGCTCCACTTTCTTTCACTTTAAGCTACCAAATCTGCTAATGGATTTATTTTTGCTAGATCATTATGCGAAAGAAAAAAGGGAAAGTAACGTTGCCGCAAATATCAAACGAGAAGACTAACTTTGAGAGGTATATGCGGTGCGTATGTAGATGCGCAGCTTCCGGTTTCAAACCCAGGGAGCAGCAAATTTATTTGGTTCAAACATAAATAATTTCCGTTTTTCTTTAACATATTTCTGTATCATTCTTCGAAAATATAGCATGATAATATTATATGCAATTTTATATTTACCGTTATTTGCAAAGACTTGTCTATATTCCTGAGATAAGGTAGTATAACTATTTACGCTATATACAAGGACACATCACCTAATGGATAAAAGCGTTAGTTGAGTAATCGAAAAATTGACTTGACTCAAAGTGTTATAACTTCAGTACCAAGCCAAAGCAGAGGGAAACAAATACTTCGGGATTTGAGTTAATGAACAGAATTAATTAATATGATATACAAAAATAGGGTGAATTAGAACAATTTACCTTACCGTAGACTAGATAAAGCGTTCGCTTCGAAATTCCAAGGTATATCACCTGAAGAAGGTCAGGACATACAACGGCCGAAATATCGGGAATATGGCGATAAAGATGAGGACAGCAGTCTGAATGATGTAAATAGTAGCAAAGACATCGTGTCACTTCTCAGGCGTGATGTTTTTGTCACTGTTTACTCTGATGTAAAATTCGGCAGGTTTTGCTGGGGAAGTATTTCATTAAAGGATGTTTTTCCCATCGTGAATGGTAATAATAGGTTGGAGCAAAGTCAGATAAAGATGGCAGGTGGAATAGAACGGACCAACCAGGTTTTTTTTCCTGCGTTATTATCGTTCTTTGCGGCCGTTTGTTGTCAGGGAAAAGAACTGTATTATTCCTTTAACCCTGCGTTAATCTCCTCGGGTTTTCGAAAAAGGATAATCCTATGGGGTGTTTACACACCAAAACAAAAAGGCCTATCGTGCTACAATTAATGTAGAATACTGTCGTAATGCTGAAAAATAAGATAGCAAGCAAAATCCTTTACAATATACATTAAATCAAAAGTTGAACTGAACATATAATTAGTCATTGAAATGAAAATAGTAACTTTCTTGCATAAACATATGTTATAAATAATAGGAGAAATACACCAATACAATAATAGAGAAAAGTTTTATACATCAAAAGTAGCTGCAATATATTATCATGAATAGAAAAAATATTACTTTGGCTAAACTCATAATTACAAGACTGAAAGAGTAAGATACACCAGGTGTAACATCAAAATTGTCCAAATCGTGTTACAACATATTTTTGCATCCCCTAAATGTTTAATAACTAACAAAAAATAAACTAAATTATTTTCTTTTTTGAAGGTTTTCAGATAAGACGTTTAGCCATCTTGACACCATTTGTCGTAAGAATCACTGAAAAATGATTTGAGTTAGTCAGCTAGAAAAAGAACAGATTAAATCGTTTTGTGTCAGGCCAGCTGTCTTCCCAACTTAGCAATGGTGAGAGGAAAAAAGATCATTCATGCCTTTCGTAATGTTACCAACATTCATACACTGGCTTCCATCTTCAAAATCCATTCAAGAATCATCAAGAGAACGGTGAATAAGTTTAAAAATACAGAATAGTAGATAGACAAACTGGATCAGAAGGTCACAATAGGAAAAGGCATCATCATATCAACATAGAGCTAAAGAGATCAGTTAGAAAAGATTCAACTCAATTCATAAGAAGTTTGATACGTGATTTTCAGCTACGACAGTCCAAAAAACAGTGATAAAAGACTTAAAAATGAAATGAGGCAGCTTGTTACTGAAGGACAGAAAGTTAGAAGTTTAGAGAGAGCGAAGATCATCTTGAATAAGATGAAAATGGTCCAATAATATATATATATATATATATATATATATATATATATATATGAACTTTATTTCAATACTTCATGAGATTCTGATCCTGAGCTCTAATTAATTAATGATGAACATGTCATTTTCGTTTATCATCGATTTCATCACGATCTCTCTGTTAAGCTTAGTGAGTAATTATACATACTTATTGCTCAAAGTTCAGTCCAACTGTTATAATACCTCTGAGAATTCCAGTAAGATATCATTAATCATTTCTAAGTTACAACGGTCCAGAACTTAATCTAATAATTGTACAATTTTGGTGTTACAGGTTTGGGCATTTTTTCTATTATACCTGGTATATATATATATATATATATATATATATATATATATATATATATATATGAGGGTCTTTGTTTGGGGTATATATATATATATATATATATATATATATATATATATATATATATATATATATGCCCGGTGCTCATTTGAAAGTTCTCAATATGACTGATAGAGCTAACAAAATATTTAAAAAAAAAAAAGACTGTTTGATATCCTAAAACATTTGATGACCACGAATGAAATATATATGAATATAAATGTTTAAATTATTATGCCTTCTTTCCTTCAACTTTAAACCTTGGATTGATTTTTGAATTCTCAGGAATACAAATACATTGAATCAATAGCTTCATCTGTTACAGTTTTTGTATATATATATATATATATATATATATGTGTGTGTGTGTGTGTGTGTGTGTAACTAGTGAATTAGCCCAAATGACTTGACTCACTTTATAGTCCCCTAATAGAAGGTTAACCAACCAGAAGACGTAGAATATTCAATCCGTCGTGTATAAAGGCGGCCATTTTGTCTACTCTACCCGAATGTCCAGTCCAGCTTGTCAGGCGAAGAGAAACAGAAGGACGAACTACGCTCTGCTACTTTTACCAAAATATCCATTGCTAACCTGAACAATGCTTTCCTACTGTCTTCGAAATATTCACTGCAAACCTCTGGATTCTATACTCGAAGACGACCGTCATCATGAACAACATCATCTACCGCAAGGAAAGTTGGTTCTCTGTGTCGCGCCAGAAATTCTTTCTCGCCCTAGTCCATCCTTCAAATCTATAAATCAACCATTCGCACTGGCATAGACTACTGCGCTCATATATGATCTAGAGCCCCTGCTGGTCGTTTTAAAGTTCTCGAAAAAACGGATATGCAATGTGATTGACCCTAATCTGGCATCTAGTTTATAGTCGCTCTCTCACAGACGTGCCGTCGCTTCCTTCTGTCTTTTCTACAAATACTTTCACGGTAATTGATCCGACGAGCTACTTTCGCTCGTTCCCAAACTGTATGAATTTAAACGTGCTGCTAGGTTAACATCTCAGTCACCCTCTTTCACTGTCGAGACGGTTAAATGTAACCGTCTCTTCTACTCTAATATTTTCATGTCTCGCACTTCCCGTCTGTGGAACACCCTTCCTCTTACTTGCTTCTCTGATAGCTATAATCTCCAACTATTACTAATACTAGCTGCTCCATTATTCCTGTTTGTTACCCTAGTTAATTGACCATTAAGTATGCATCAGTCTGCCTCGGTAAACGATAAAATCTACTAGGATTGCGCGCTAATCCCTGTTGAAAACGCCTGCACCGTGGTTCATGCTTCAACTATAGTAAGCAGACATCAGTTACCGCTTCTAGGATATAGTCAGAATAGGGAGAGCTCATTAATTGAAGAAGGTCTCGTTCACAACGACTTGATACTTCAACAATTCCGAGATTTTTCAACTACCCAGTTTCAATCGTAAGTAGTCAGTGTTTTTGGACACATCAAAACAATGTCGCAGGCTAGGATTGTTTGCTCAGGTCAGTATTAATAATCTTCACTTTGACAAATCGACAACGTTGAGATTCGAACATGGGTCTAATAATCGGACGCTAAATATCTAACAACTCTGCCACGCCTCTAAGTAAAAGTAAATTATTCGCTGTTAAATTATATGTACGTGTTAGACGCCGATTCGTGTTCTATGGCAGTAGGTATAAAATCTCTCTCCTGTTCTTCTCAATGCCTATGAAAATGCCTGCCTATTTCAACACATGACGTTGTGAGTAACTAATGCAGATCGTCCCCATTTCTGCGCAATAAATTTTGCCCGCAATATCAATTAATGTTTCAGTGGCTTCCGTATCCAACTTTTTAAAAACTTTTATGATTAATTTAGTAATTATGTTTCCCGGTAATTAATGGCTTTTAATTATCGAAAAGGTGTCTCACGGCCAAGCCTGAAATAAAAATGAGAAATGCATTTTAATTTTGGCATATACTTGAGACAATAAAACTCGGTAAGGTATATGAAATGTTTTTCAAAGAGGTTTTACAGTTAAAATGTTATAACTGGGCCAAGTGTATCTTCTAATTAAATCAGTATTTATTAAGCTGAATCATAAGTAATTTCCGTTTGTGGGAACCAAATGTAATGACCAATATATCATCTTAGGTACTAATCATACGTGGGAGTAAAGAATAAATTTGGTGTTCACTAACGTGTTGTGTCAGACAATATGTCGAAAGGACAGAAATTTTTATAAGGTTAAATAGTAATTAAAAGAGCTATTCAGATGAATCATTGTTATATAGTCGCTGCCGACAGTTGAGTTTGAATATAGATCGCCTGTGTTTGCTCATTGGCGATCCCATTATTGAATTAAGTAGATCATCTGATCATAGATGAAACGCATAAGTAGGAAGTCGCGTGCCGTCTAATTGATCTTCATTTCTACTCTACCCTCTATTACTATTCGGATCATCATTTCTTGTCTATTCCCTATTACTATAGGAACCGCTATTCTCTACACTATTCACTATACTATTTCTCTATACGAATTACTATTCGGTGGTTACTTTACGAGCGAGTATTAACGAATAAGTACTATTAACACGAGTGTAATTTGAAGACGTCTGACACCAGTATTGTTCAACGGCGTTACTATAGTTGTATCTGCGATTAACATGTCTCTATTACAATGAGCATTACAAAAATAACAACGATTATTTGTTGGCATTACAAACAACGCAACGAGTGTTCGTTGACAACATAAAAATCATAAGCAATTTTCGTTTTGGGGAACAAACTATAATGAGGAATATAACATCCTAACTAATTATACGTGACTGTTAAAAATAAACTTTGAGTACATTAATATATCTTAAGATTTACACACCGTAGAGAGTGGATTAAAAAAAATGTTGTTCTCCTCTATGACAACATAAGGCGGCATAAAGCAAGAAGAACACATGAAAAAAAAAATTAAATTCCCGTCTATTCCAGACGGAGTAGTAGTCTCATAAGATATATATATATATATATATATATATATATATATATATATATATATATAGATAGATAGATAGATAGATAGATAGATAGATAGATAGGAAATGTTTATCAATCTAATATTTTCCCTTTTATTATTGGAAAAAAGAAAGAAATTCTGTTATTTTTTATTTTGTGTTGTTTGATTTTCATTGGTCAATCTCTTTTCACATGCATTCGATTCTTTTAACCCCACGTTGGTATAATTTGTGACGTTCCGAATTCAAGGAAAGATGACGCGTCCATCCAAAATTTTAAGAAAATAACGAATTCCAAATCGAACTGTAAAACCGTAAATATTACTGTTTATATATATATATATATATATATATATATATATATATATATATATAAATTCTAGCTTGTCAATGTGGGAATTAAATGATAATGAATATTGGAAATTGAGTTTTAATGTTTAACCAGCGGACATTATGTTAGTTGTTTTTTTGTATTTTGATTTGTGAAAGTTTGTATGTACATACCGTTTATTTTAGATAAAAAATACGTTAGATTCTTAGATAAGGAGGATTCAATAAAGTTTGGCAATGTAATATAATGTTTTGGACGCGTGTTTACAGTTGATAATATTGTTCATATTAGACTGTCAAAGTACTTTCTCTTTATGCTATTTTTCAATTAGGTTGGCATTAGTAAAATCAAATTATGGCCAGTTTTGTTTCTGTGTATTACGAGAGAGTTTGAATGGTTGTCTAAATGTAATTTGTGTTCGTAGATACGGACTTTTATAGCACGTGATGTCTCACAGATATAAACTCTTTCACATTGTAAACTATTTATTTGATAACTACCGCCATTTGAATTATTGTTGGATTTATTTTACCGACTAATTTCATCTCCGATTGTCTTGGGCGTGGTGCTAAAGATACTGGTATTAGCAATAACTAATTTATTTTCAACTTCAGTAGAAGGAATATCAGATGGTAGGATCATGAAATTTTTTTTTTTTTTTTTTTGTTTTTTTTTTTTTGTTTAAGGGCTACTATTATAGATAGACAGATTTGAAAACACTGATATATATATATATATATATATATATATATATATATATATATATATATATATATTCAAAACTAGTGAACCAGCTTTTTCTGACGATCCGCTTAGGTGAAACCTGGGTAGGTTTGTCTGGCTCACTAGGTTTATCTAGGTCTGCTCTACGGTTGTATTGAGCTCTTTTGTTAGTTAGTTGTTTACTCGTGTCGGGTTTTTTTCTTTGGGCTTTAAACCTGTATCTGTGCGATTTTTATGATAGACTTTCATGTTCCTGGATCTTTCTTTATTTTTAAAATTTTTTTTCCTTCGAGATTGATTTGATTATTAATGACAAATCAAAAATTCGAAGGTTTTTTGAGACGAGTATAGTTACCTATATATATATATATATATATATATATATATATATATATAGATAGATAGATAGATAGATAGATAGATAGATAGATAGATAGATATGGACATAAACAGACAGGTTTGGACAAATAGATAGATAGATAGATAGATATGGACATAAACAGACAGGTTTGGACAAATAGATAGATAGATAGATAGATAGATAGATAGATAGATAGATAGATAGATAGATAGATAGATAAACAGACAGGTTTGGACAAATAGATAGATAGATAGATAGATAGATAGATAGATAGATATGGACATAAACAGACAGGTTTGGACAAATAGATAGATAGATAGATAGATAGATAGATAGATAGATAGATAGATAGATATGAACAGAGAAAAACAGACAGGCATAACCACCATGATAGATAGATATATAGATAGATAGAGAGAGAGAGAGCGAGAGAGAGAGAGAGAGAAAGATTTCAGACATTACTTTTAGTGGATACTCATATTTAAAATGAATATTGGGTTAAAAATACCCTTTCAAGTAATATAATTGCCGGCGAATTAAAGATAAATCCATTACTCCTTAGATAGATAGACAGATAGATAGATAGATAACCAGTATTTATATAAAAGCAGACTAGATTGGAATAAAATTGGAAGTTAGTGTATTCATTCAAAATTAATTTGCTTTCGTAAAATACGGTAGGAAAAGATGGAATGAACGGTGAGTTTGGAAAGAAAGAGTCAAATGAAACTACACCTGGGTGCTGGAATAACAGGGCGTGTACTTTGGGGGAAATAAATCAAATTTCAAACAACTGTTAAGGTTCGTCCGTTCCGTACAACCAATGCTTTGAGACTTGAGTTCCAACCTCGATAAAAATCAGGAATTTAATGCAGATTTTCAACGCAAGTAGATCCATTTGAATCGTGTCTAAACGTCCCTATCAGTTGGCC